TTGTGATATTGCTTTCAAGAACTGAGTTCATTAATCAAAAACGCGCTATTAATATTATCAAGTTTTTTTTTATAATTTATGCAAAATGGGGCCCAAGACATCTTGAACCAAAGTAGGTCACAATGAGCTATCAAATATCTAAAAATTAGCTGCTATTCATTTTTAGAATGCTTCAAGTGCATATTTTGGGCATTGTGAAGCATAGGTCTTTGACATATTGTCAATCGATATACATGTAGTTTGAACCATGAAAACCTTTTACCAAAATATATGTTTTCATGTTAAATTGATATTAATACTGTACTACATAATATAGAAAAAAATATGCATGCCTCAAAGAATACAATGGGTTTCTTACAGTTTGAATTCTACTGAACAGCAAGGGCTATTTGTTGAACTAAAGCTGCAGGATTCATTTGACCTTCAGAGGAAGTAGTTCTTTAAATCCAAAAATTGCTTAAACTGCAGAAGAAGCAATCCTATAAAATCCAACGGTTTCGACAGCAGAATAAGAGATCCTATGAAATGGAGCAATCCTATTAACTACAGCATAAGGCATGCAACATATTTATTGAAGCATGCAAGTAAATTATGTTAATATGCAAATACATTATGTTAACAGGAAATTATGCATCCTTAAGAATAGTTTTTGGCCGCAGTGCGGCATTACATTTCTACAATAGAATTTATCTTGAAAAATCTTCATCTCAAGAAATATGGAATCAAAATTTTACATTAAATATTTCGTAAAAAACTTTTAAAATCTTCTCAAAAGCCACTACACCAGAAAAATTGAAAGGCGAATTCATCCAGGGGTAGTGTACATTATTTTCTTATTCAAATCAAGACCCTTAGTGGTAATGTTTATAATGTGGAAAAATCTGGTGAAGAACAGCAGGGCCAAAGTGACTCAGCTAAACGTTGTGGTCCTTGGGCCACTTGTTTTCTTTACTTGTGTCCCTGATGCATAATTTGCTCAGTTCCTTGTTTTACTAATTATCAGTGGTCTGAAGAGTTGTATATTAATTGTTCTACAAATACCCAGAATAAAGTGTTTGCTCAATAATTCTCCAACATATGTTGCCCTGATGTGATGACAGACAATGCATTTTAGCTTTAGTTAACAAAGTTAATTGCCCAGATTATGGGTGAATGTCCAAAAGTTCCTTCACAACGTGAGTGATAGAGTAATTGTTCAAAATTCTCCCAACAATTCCCATAAACATGATTTTCAATATATACGTACATAGTAAAAAAATTGGCAAAATATCAGGCCTAGGGGTATCAGTTGTATTGTTATCATCATACATTTCTATCTGTTGTGTTTTCATTGTGACATCATCCAAAGTCTTCCACAGAACAATTATAAATTACTATGTAGTAAAACCTTTCCACTCGTAATGTTTAAGTTGTTTTTCCCAATTAAAGTAAAAAAAAAATCAAAATAATTTTTTAAAATAATTTTATTGCATTTTTTTTTATTTCAACATTTGTAAACATAATCACAAAAAAAAAAAATAATAAATATTAATAAAAAGAATTTTCATGACACATGTACAAGTATACATGCATAACGTAACAAGTAATTTTAACACCCTATAAAACTATAACAATAAAAATAAAAAATAAAATTACAACAATAAAAGAAATACATATAATTTTAATCAGAACATTTTTCATTAAATGCTATAATAATACATATGTTATAATAAAGGACATCACTGGAGATCTGAACTCAGTTCCGTAAACTCTATCACAATAGAAATATATACAAAGAATTTTGACAACAAAGGAACACACACATATATAAAACATAATATGTATAATGATTAATATTAATTGATAAGACCAGACTTACTTCAAAATATTGTTTATTTGCCCTCTCTCTACCCTGCATAAAAAGTTTGCTAACTGTAAAGATGGAGAAAAAATTCCACATAAAATATTAACATCAATGCAGATCTTTCTTATTTTCTCAGAATCTATTATCAGGGATGGATATAAAATTGTTTCCAGGAGGTTAAAAATGCTTTGAGTAAGACCATTTTTAGCCAGTCGCTAAAAGTTGGTATAAAGGTGGGACAAAAAAATATCCACATAAAATTTCAAAATCAATGCTGATCTTTCTTAATTTCTTAGAATCTGTTGTCAGGGATGCATTAAAAAAATGTTTCCAGGAGGTTACAAATTTTTTTGAGTCGGGCCATTTTTAGCCAGTCAGTCGGGAGAGGGCAACCAAACAATTTTTTCAACATGGCCCTAAAAAAACAGCACAACAAATAACAGGAGGTAGTAGTCCACAAGGCTCACCTTAATATCTTCATCAGTCTCACACAAAAAGAATCTTGTACAGTTATTAATTAGTGTCCAAATCATGGCCATCATACAATAGAGAATTCTTCTGCTAAAAATCATTAACTTTACTCATTCTAAACTTCATCATAAAACGCATTGCTTCAGAGTAAAAAAAAAACAAATTGTATCATATTTTTGGATCTCTAATAAGGATAAAGTACCTTGTTGACTAAACAATGTCTTTGTCAGTTTGAGTTGTCTGCCAAGGCAATAACCTAGAAAAAAATTCCTGAAATTTGAAATGCCAACAACAGATTTAAAAAAAGACTGCCTTTGGCCTCCTGATCAAATGCTTTTTCTGTTTTTATTCTATTCTTGCTAGAGAACTTGATTATTTGACATCTGGTGATGCCCTTTGACAAATGTAAATGTTATTTCTGTGCAGAGTACAAATTTCAACTGTTTGTCTACTGCAAAGTTAAGGATAAAACAAAAATTTTACAGTTCTGAAATAATACCAGTGACCTTGATCTTGCACAAACAACCTTGCAGTTAAATACTGGTCATTACAGGAGACATTGAACTATATAATATATGATCTTGAATGTAGCCTTTTTGTATTAAGTATTTTTAACTGGTTGTCAACAGCAAAGTTATGTTTGTATTTCGTATATTGTATTGGTGATAAGAAAATACACATTTTCTTTTTTTCATCTTGTGCTTCTAGCACCTGATAGTTCCCTTTCAAAATTACTGGAATTTTAGCCGATAAAACGGATATCTTTTGGCCTTTTCGCACCTTTTAAAATTATCATTATACTATAGCACAAACCAAAATTTCTAAATTCAATTTGGCTTAACTCCTTCCTGGTCATTTCTTTATTAATTTTTTGATTTTTGTTCACATATACGCACACACAAATACATATAATCTGTTGATATTCAAAAATGTATGTACTTATCTGTTTGCTAATAATTATGTTTAATGCCTAGGTTATTATTCCTGTATGCTTTTAACTTTGTACAGTACTATTGCTAATTTTAAAACCTTATCTAAAATTAAATTTTAATCGGTATAAGCAGCAATTTTATACGATTTTTCAAGCTAAATAAAAACAATATAGCAAAACTAGATTATTGACCCCCCCCCCTTTCCTTGTATCATTTTAAAGCTAAATTTTATACACTTACACACCTTCCAAATGTTATTTAATCTCCCCCTTCTCATTTTAATTTATATTTAAATTATGTTCAGAAGTTATTGAACAAAATCACCCCCCCCCCCTTTTTTTGTTCCTATTTGCAATTTTCCTCACCTCATCTTCATTTTCTCTTTATATTATTTTAACATTTAACTACACGTATGGTCGGCCACCAAAAATGATTGTAGCAACACGGTGGTTTATTTATTTATTCATCATTTATTTATTTTTAGAAAATAATTAGTAGATGTACAACGTATGTCTACACAATCATACGGAGGCCTGTTCTCCTTATGAGAGCAGAGAATTGAGGCTGGAAGCACTAGGTGAAAAAAAGGAAATGTGTGTTTTCTTATCACCAATACAATATACTAAATACGAACTTAATTATATGATTTTGAATGTAGCCTTCTGTGTTAAGTATTTTTAACTGGTTGTCAACAGCAAAGTTATGGATAAGACAAAAATACTCAGTTTTCCTACAAATGATCTTGATCTTGCAGAAATGATCTAGATTTATGATCACATAGTGTCACGTAATAAAGTGTCTTTGGTCTATAATTAGGTCAAAATGAATCTTTGACATATCAGCAGGTCGAAAATAGTCTTTGATCTATGACCAAGACAAAAAAAATCTTTAATAACATGAGTAGGACAAAATTAATCTTTGAAAACATAAGCAGGAAAATAGGATTCTTTGATATCTAAGCCGATCAAATGGAATCATTGATATATGAGCAATATTTTTAATGAAATTTAAGGCGTATAATTGAGATTGAGCGTATCTAGCACTGCTCACTTTAGTACAACAAAATATATTTCTTATATTTTTTTTTCTTACATGTTAGTGATTCTAAATTAGTTTGCCTTTTATTATATTTACTTTTCCTTATGTTACCTCTACCAGATTGTTGACTATGTTCACTTTTTTAATGTTTGAATTATGAATGTCGATGAGAGATTTATTTGCAAGTCAGAATGAATGTGAGCAGATAAATTATAAACCTGAGCACTTTGGTGTAAAGAAAAGCAAAAATTCGTTAAAGGTCAAAAAGTTTAAAAGAAATACATAAAAAGTCCTCCTTTAGGAACAATTGAGCTAAAATGTCTTGTCTAAAATGTTAAATGATTTGTGATTCTTTGGTTTTACAATTTTGATTTAATCAGCTGTTATTTTGTTGAAATATAATGACTTCAAATAAAAACGTAGGACCAGTGTCTGTTTATTGAAGGGCTCATTTAAAGAAATAAAAATCTTTTCTATATCCTATCTAAAAAAAGCATTCTTTATTCAAATTATTTGCTGCATGCAAATACCAAAAGGACAAGATCCAAAATCTGAAGAACTTGTAGTTTTGCTTAATGCATTTGTACTGTTAATCACAATATCTTCACAAGAATTTCATTTTCATATGATTACATGAGATTCCTAGCAATTTTTTTTTTCTTGCCTTTATCAAAGGTAATATGCAACAATAATAAAAAAAAATGGACTTAAAAATTACCTTTCGCTTATAAATAAAAAAAGTAGATAATAAAAAACATGAAAATTAGCCGTGGCTTTAAATTGGCAATATACATTAAATTACACATCTCACACTAAAGAAATAAGAGTCCAATCATGAACATGATCACCTGTACTTTGTTGAACAATCCAGTCTTCGTCTCCAAGAAAAAAAAAACAAATAGAGACATGTCCAAAATTGCACTGATGTCCAATATTGCACTGATGTTCAATACTGCACTGATATCCAATATTGCACTGATCCCAAATATCGCACTAACACTAACATCCAATATTCTACTTTATGAACTTGGTTTTTCCTCTGTCCCAACATTGCCCTCATTGATCATTGAAAAGTACCTTTAATAATTGTGAAATTATTTGATTAGTTTTTCATCCATATCATTTTTTATCAAGTTGTATCTAATATTTACAGGTATAAAATATTGTTTTTCAAATTGCGTTTGTGTGTTTTTAAAATTCTGGCAATACTTTTTAAACCTGTAACATTGAACATAATTATCCAATATTCCAATGAACTTAAGTCACAGGCAGCTGTGTCTAAGTATAGACTTTTAATGTTTGTCTTTTCAAAGCTAGAACAATAATCTAAGATTTATCCTCAGATTTTCAACTGTAAGTCTAACAACCTGGGGACAGGGTCAAAACACAGCTAGTAAAAAGGTACCTTTTTGATGACTCGAATGTTCCATGCTAATTTTCAGGCAATTTTTTTAAATACACAGTTGACTCTTGACTTCTTATTGATAATACGTTAGCAATATATGTTAGGCCACTTTTTTTATTAGTTGTTTTTCAAGATCGCCGACTTAAAATTTGAGAAATTGAAAAAAAAATAAAATTTTTATTAGGCTTTTTTTTAACAATTGAAATTGTCGCCAAAAAATACGAAGCTAAACTTTGGGGGAAAAATTTGTCACATGCTGCAAAAATGGTGACGACCATGGAAAGGAGCATGTCATCAATACAGTGTTTCCAAAAACCATTTGTCCTACAGGCAAAACTGATAGAAAATCGAAATGTCTGAGATCAAATTACACATACATCTTGTACCTCCCGGTACCGTCCATATGACCGACTGGGTTGAAGACTTGTCCTGATTAATTAATTGTCCTCTGATCTAATGTTATGTCTTCAATAAATGAAAATTTTTAATGCAGTATGCTTCTATTCTTCGTAAATATCCACAATCTTATCTATTTTGCAATTCTGCTTGACTTGTTTACTTCCAAAAATGATCGTTTTTTCTCTATTCCGAATTTCCTCCATTCCTCTGTTAATGGTAAATACATGCAGTATATAGGTCATGAAGTGCAATTCCCACTGAGAAAACATGATAATGATTTAAATCTATTAATTTTATTTTGAATTTCTATCAAAACTGCTATTTAAATATGATTCAATTTTACAAGTGAGAATTAAACTTTTGAAATTTATTTAATTGCCATATTTATATAAATAATGGTAGTTGCAATCAACTAAATTTTTTTCATCAAAAATTAAATTAATTGAATAACGTAAATATTTTTCACATTAACAGGGAACCATTCCAAGTTAAATTAGATCAGGATTATAACGATAAATCACAACATCAAATCAAAAATTAAAATTATTAAACTATATTTAACTAAGGAGAACATACATTTTTTGTTTAAAATATAATGATGTTAAACTAAAGTAGAATGACATACAAAAGGCAGTTTAATTTGCATGTAGAAGTTTTTGAAATATTTAATACTAGTGTACTCTAAAGTACTTTATCGTAATCTGTTTAGTACGACAATTTTTCAACTGTCTTTTTTTTTTTTTTTTTTTGACCGACCGACCTTATTTTAAAAAAAAAAGTCTTGAAAAACAACTAATAAAAAAAAATGGCCTTAGCAATATATAAGTTGATAGGGGATGCTTACTCCTCAAAGTCACCTGATCCCACCTCTGTTTTTTCAAGAGGTCCGCTTTGTGCCCTGTCCATGATTTTATTTTCTTTCCTGAATTTATGAAATTTATCTTTATTTAAGGATATACGATCATCAGCCAGGAAGGATAACTCTTTAATTTATTATTTAATTCAAAAAGTCTTCAAATGAAGCTTGAAATTGAAATTTTTTCATGCAACAATTTTCATTTTATGCCTCTACATATGATTCAATGTTCTTTGAAGTTTTAACAAACGGTATTTAAAAAGTTGACATTTGTACCTAATAAAATTAGGTAAAATTGCATATTTTAAAAAAATCGGATTTCTTTTAATTTAGCCTTAGTTACCAATGTTTATAAGCATGATTTGAAATTAGAAGTGATTTACGGTGTTTTCTTTGAAAGGAAACACTTCATACACTATGCATTATGAAACGATGGAAGTAAGTAGGAGAAAGTAAAGTACCAAATAAGTGTAAAATTTTAATGCCTGGATACCTATAATTTTTTTTCCCTAAAATGTATTACTTGATCAATTATCAATTTAAAAATATGCAGTAGGTAGTTTAAATCGCATTTCCTGAAAAATTATTTGAGATTTCTAATTTTCCCAATATAATATGATTAAATTTAAAGATGGAGTTAAAAGAATCACTGTGGGTAAAACAATTTAATTTGAGAATTTAGAGACATCTTTGTGAGCATTTTCAATGACTCAATGCCTGATTTTCAGAACCTGAGGATCGGATAACCTTAATATCTTCACCTTTTACATTTGAAACTTAGATCTGCAAGTCAAGAATTTGACTCTTTTTGTGAACATAGTAAGTCATGTTAAATGAAATATTTCGAGCCAAATATAACTTTTTTTTCCTTTAAGTTTTTAAAACATAATATAACTTAAAGATACCCAGTTTCTCAAGTGATATATAAATGTTTATTTTACAAAAATACAAAGAAATCCCTCATTAAAAAATTCAAGAGAAAATTACCATCGAGCCCCTGAAGAAAAAAGTTATTTACAAAAAGAGGGTCAAAACTACAGGTGATTCCAGTATAAATCTCCTCCTCTACACCCTGTCTCTATCCTTATCCTACCTGTTCCCCTATTACATTTGGGTTGGTGTAGTATGGTGGATCTATTTCCTGTCCAGTCACCTGCATGGCACTGTCACTTTGGTTAGAGCATCTGCCCTAGAGTCGCGAGGTAAGGAGTCAATCCTTACTTTGCAGGTTTGAATCCCACTGTTGGACCTGGAGACCAGTCCTTCGGATGAGACAGGATAAACTGAGTCCCTGTGTCGCAGTAGGTGCTGGCACGAAAAAGATCCCTCCCTGCTCAATGGCTTTGAGTCCCGAGTTTGGGACAAAATTTGCCTCTCTAAAACAGCCAGCGGTGGCGTCTCCATATGAGTGCAAAATTCTCAGAGGGACATTCAAGAATGTATCATTATCAATATTACCTGTCCATTTTTTGGTCGAGCCACTCTTTATGTTTAAGATTCTCCGTCCATGTCTGAGGAATGGCCTCGAGTCCCAGCTTACACCCCAGAAGAGCTCCAGCAACAGAGGCATTGGTATCAGCATCTCCTCCCTAAAAAAGACAACACAACAGAGGTCCAGCAACAGAGCGACATTGGTATCCGCAACTCCTTCCTTTAAATAACAACACATCAATCCTTACACCCAAGGAGAGCTACCGCTACAGAAGCATTGGTATCCGCATCTTCCCCCTATAAATAACAACACATAAATCCTAATACCCCAATAGAGCTCCAGCTACAGAGGCATTGGTGTCCGCATCTCCTCCCTATAAATAACAACAAAACAGAGGCATTGGTGTCCGCATCTCCTCCCTATAAATAACAACAAAACAGAGGCATTGGTGTCCGCATCTCCTCCCTATAAATAACAACAAAACAGAGGCATTGGTGTCCGCATCTCCTCCCTATAAATAACAACAAAACAGAGGCATTGGTGTCCGCATCTCCTCCCTATAAATAACAACAAAACAGAGGCATTGGTGTCCGCATCTCCTCCCTATAAATAACAACAAAACAGAGGCATTGGTGTCCGCATCTCCTCCCTATTAAAGACAACACAACAGAGGCATTGGTGTCCGCATCTCCTCAATATAAAAAACAACACATCAATCCTTATACCACAATAGAGCTCCAGCTACAGAGGCATTGGTGTCAGCATCTCCTCCCTATAAATAACAACACAACAGAGGCATTGGTGTCCGCATCTCCTCCCTATAAATAACAACACAACAGAGGCATTGGAGGCTGCATCTCCTCCCTAGAAATAACAACACATCAATCCTAATAACCCGATAGAGCTCCAGATAGAGAGGCATTGGTGTCCGCATCTCCTCCCTATAAATAACAACACATCAATCCTAATAACCCAATAGAGCTCCAGATAGAGAGGCATTGGTGTCCGCATCTCCTCCCTATAAATAACAACACAACAGAGGCATTGGAGGCTGCATCTCCTCCCTAGAAATAACAAAACATCAATACTAATAACCCGATAGAGCTCCAGATAGAGAGGCATTGGTGTCCGCATCTCCTCCCTATAAATAACAACACATCAATCCTAATAACCCAATAGAGCTCCAGATAGAGAGGCATTGGTGTCCGCATCTCCTCCCTATAAATAACAACACATCAATCCTAATAACCCAATAGAGCTCCAGATAGAGAGGCATTGGTGTCCGCATCTCCTCCCTATAAATAACAACACATCAATCCTAATAACCCAATAGAGCTCCAGATAGAGAGGCATTGGTGTCCGCATCTCCTCCCTATAAATAACAACACATCAATCCTAATACCCCAATAGAGCTTCAGATAGAGAGGCATTGGTGTCCGCATCTCCTCCCTATAAATAACAACACATCAATCCTAATACCTCAATAGAGCTCCAGCTACAGAGGCAATGGTATCTGCATCTCCCCCTATAAATAACAACACATAAATCCTTACACCACAACAGAGCTCCCGCTACAGAGGCTCCTCCCTAAATAAGACAACACACCAGTCCTCCTATCTATCGTCTGTCTCCAGATACCTGGCCTGGAGACCATAACCTTAGGCCATAAACTGAGAATAGACTAATGTCCAAATTTTGATTTTGAATAGCTTGTCATTTTTAATACACATGTCGTTAAAATTTGCAGGATTATATAATATTCCAATTAAAACATAATAGTAAAACGTTTCCTTGTTATCAAAATTTTTTCAAAAGTTATAATTTTATTTTAAAATTTATGTCTGTTCTCAGTTTTTTGCTGCACACTTAAGTTTCAATTTTAATTTCAGATTTCAGAAGAATGCACAATCTTTGCTTTGATTCCTCAAGATTTTTAATTTTATTATTTCCTTTATTTAATTCTTTTCTAAGGACAATGAGAGACGTTCCTTAGATAACAGATAAAATTTTCTAATGGTTTGTCATTGAAGTATTGCTACTTAAACATGTTTACGCACAAAAAATTGAGGTAGCCAAGATTTCTGCAAGATACGATATGTTTAAGTGTCTGGATTTTTAAAAGACAATTAGAAACTGGTCGCAACAGCAGAATGAAATTAAAATTTTGAATATTTTTCATATGTTACAAAGATATACAATGACAATATAAATTTTCATATTTAAGCTTCATGCCTTGCATCATATAAACTGTTACTTGAACCGTATGATTTTCCTAAAGAAATGTATTTTATGAGTAAAATACAAACAATTATAGCATAGATTGCGGGGCAAAATTGGGCAACAAAGACGCTTTAACTCGCTTTAACTAAAGGAATAATAGACATTTATATCATTAAGGAGTTACCTCTCTTATCAGAATAACAATTTTTCCATTGTCACATTCCCACTCCAGGTAAATTAGCGATATACACTCACTCACCTGCATGACAATCTTTGTGATGGCTTTGACTCACCTGCATGACAATCTTTGTGATGGCTTTGTCTCCCTTTGACTTCTTTGTGATGGATTTGAAAACAATGACAAGCTTTGTGATGGCTTTGTCTCACCTGCAACAATCTTTGTGATGGCTTTGACTCACCTGCATGAATATCTTTGTGATGGCTTTGTCTCACCTGCATGACAATCTTTGTAAACATGTCTCACCTGCATGACAATCTTTGTGATGGCTTTGTCTCACCTGCATGACAATCTTTGTAATGGCTGAGTCTCACCTGCATGACAATCTTTGTATTTACTTACCTGCATGACAATCTTTGTGATGGCTTTGTCTCACCTGCATGATTAATATTATTATTATTTTTTCTCATTTTTGTGACGCTCTTTGTGATGGCTTTGACTCACCTGCATGACAATCTTTGTAATTGCTTTGTCTCACCTGCATGACAATTTTTGTAATTGCACTTTGTCGTGAGATATGACAATCTTTGTGATTTTAAGACCCGCATGACAATCTTTGCGATGGCTTTGACTCACCTGCAAATGAAATCTTTGTACTTGAGATTTTCACCTGTGACAATCTTTGTAATTGATTGACTAAATTGCTTGACAATCTTTGTGATGGCTTTGTCTTTCCTGCATGACAATCTTTGCGATGGCTTTGACTCACCTGCATGACAATCTTTGTAATTGCTTTGTCTCACCTGCATGACAATCTTTGTAATTGATTTGACTCAAGACAATCTTTGTAATGGCTTTTTCTCACCTGCATGACAATCTTTGTGATGGTTATTGACTCACCTGCATGACAATCTTTGTAATTGCTTTGACTCACCTGCATGACAATTTTGTGATTTTGACTCATTGACATCTTTGTAATTGCTTTGACTCACCTGCATGACAATCTTTGTAATGGATATCACTGTGAAATCTTTCAGGAATTATAGATCGTGATAATCTTTGTAATTGCTTTGTCTCAAGCATGACAATCTTTTGTACATTGCTCTGTCACCTCCTGACAATCTTTGTAATTGCTTTGGCACCTGCATGAAAAAAAGTGAAATTTGACTCACCTGAACTTTTTGTGTTGGCTTTCACTGTTTTCAAATCATATTTGTATTGCTTGATAGATACAATTTCTCATTAGGCTCAATATAAAATTTTGTGATTGTAAATTGATGAATGACAATCTTTGATATTGGCATTCAAAAGTCTGACCTGTGACAATCTTTGTGATGGCGGCTCACCTGTCAATGACATTTTGTGATGGCTTTGACTCAGGCATTACAATCTTTGTGATGGCTTTGTAACATGGAGCAATCTTTGTGATGGCTTTGACTCACCTGCATTGACAATCTTTGTGATGGCTTTGACTCACCTGCATGACAATCTTTGTAATGGCTTTGTCTCACCTGCATGACAATCTTTGTGATGGCTTTGTCTCAAAGTATGACAATCTTTGAATGGAATTAATGACTCACCTGCATGACATATCTTTGTGATGGCTTTGACTCACCTGCATGGCAATCTTTGTAATGCTTAAACCTGCATGACAATCTTTGTGATGGCTTTGCAGAAATCATGTGCTTGAGTGCCCAGAATCCAGAGCCCATGTTCTTGAATGCACCAATCTTGTGTCCTGATATTTTAGTTGTTTTATATCTAGAAAGGACTTCATGTAGGTCAGTAAGAAAATATTTTATTTTTAAAGAAAACAATTTTTGTGAAATATAAATTGACCCCATATTAACATTTTATTTTCTCCAAACGAAGTTATTGAACATATGGAACTCTGTTTCTTATTAAGGTCTTCCGTTTCCAGGGAGATCGAGGCATTTTTTTTTTCGGTGAAACATCTTTTTCCCTATTATTATTATTATTATTATTTTTTTTCTTACCGATTTTTGTGCACGCCAGTTCTATGAAACGGCTCGGTCGATGTTTCACGAAACTTTCAGATCTGATAGATATTGGTCTGAACCTTATGGGAATTTTTCATAAGTACGCTCACTTCCGGTCGTGAGTTTTGGACGATTTACTGATTTTAAGAGGGTCAGCTTGTCCGGGCAATCACAAGTGAAGATATTGACACTGAAGATACATAAGGATCTGTATTGCTTTTTTTAATCTTCGATGCAAAAGGCGTTGAAGCTAGTTAGCTCGTTATAATTATTATTTTTCTGACCATCACATTTTGTGTGAAATTCTTTCGAAGACTACTGGATTGATTTTTATGAAATTTGCTGGAACAACTTGTTGCACACAGTAGACTACACTAAGATACATAAATTCTGTGTATCGGTTTTCTGATTTTAAATTGACATCTTGTTTCGCGGATAATCTAAAGAACGGTAAAAGATATCACTGTGAAACTTTCAGGGATTATAGATCGTGATAAGTACTATCCAAGACGCGATCTTTTGTACTTCGTCTCTACTTCCTGTCGTAACGGCATGCAAAGAAAAAAGTCAAATTTTTGAACTTTTTTGATTTATATTTTAAATTTTTGATTTCGATGAACATTTCTCATTAGGCTGAATATATAATTTGTTTGTAAATTGATGAAAATGCTACCCGAGATATTAACATTCAAAAGTCTGAAGCGGTATCTTAATGGCACGGTCAAGTAGATTCCGACTTTCGATAATAGGGGTTTATAGATAGCCGAGTTTGCTTGAACGAAAGTAACATAAGGATGAAATGTGATGTCGTGGTTTGTCACGTCGTAGGTTCGTTGCAATTCGGTGTGAAATTACATTTAAAAGGCTACTCCAAGTCTTCTTTAATTGGTTTTGGTTGATTTCAAAGTAGAAATAAAAAGAATTAATGTGCACATGAAGTACAATATCTATATCTTTTTGCTTTGCATCACGGTAACACATAGCTTAAATCATAGTTATAATAAATAGTTTTTCAAGAATGTAGGAAGTAATGCTACTCCTAATGCACACTTGTGTCGATTATAATATAATAGGAATTGCAACTGTTACAATAAGAACATATTTTACTTTTAAAGATAACAATTTTTCAAAGACTGTTATTCAGCCTGTTAAACATTTTAATTTCTTAATGCAAATTATTGAAGTTTTCTCTTCCTTTGCTGTAAGTACAAACCAGTAGAGCTTCAGTCTCGACAGAGACTTCTGGTTCATGAAAGTGTAAGTAATCGGAATAGTCAACTTTCGTGATTGAAAATTGAAAAATTAACCATTCATAGCTGTTTCACTGCTTTAGTGTTATTTGCCTATATACGATTGATTGATTGTATACTGTTTAAAGTCCCTCTCCAGAATATTTCACTGATATGGAGACGGCACCATTGCCGGTGAAGGGCTGCAAATTTGGGCCTATGCTCGGCACTCAGGGCCATTGAGCAGGGAGGGAATCTTGATCCTGCCACACCTGCTGTGACACGGGGCCTCGGTCTATACCGTCTATCTGAAGGACCATGAACATTCCAAGAGAAATTCGCTAAGATTTACTCGTTGCGTTTGGCGCGAAATTATGAATAGTGACCCTTCTTTCATAATTCCAAGACAGATTAACTGTTGCAGAATTATATGTACTTACAAGTGAAGTAAGAGTAGTTGTTCAAATAGCGTAATCGATAAGCGTATTGGATTTTCACGTTAGTGACCCGTTTCAATTACCAGTGTGTCCAAAATATGTTTAATCCATTTTCAGCTCCATTTTATGGGTTATTTTTCGGAATCGGACGGAAGACCTACTCGTTGCTTGCGACGATCATTTATCGTTGTTAGCTATTATTATTTTTCTTCTTCCTGGGAAAATTTTCTGCCACGAATGATCTTGCAAACTACACATACAGATGCGAAATGTTTTTAGGGTCAGTAGACATGTTATGTAGATTTGCCGAACGAAGGTCATTTTGCGCGCACGTGCTTGCAAGAGCGCGCACGTGCAACATGAAAAATGACCAATATAATTAATAAAGATGTAACTTTTTCAATTTTGGATGAAATGCATTGAAACTCATAATATAAGGACAAATTAGTAGGAAAGACAAGATGCCATGGTCAAAATAGCAAGAACCAACGCGCATGCACGTGCACTTCACTCTGATTGGCTGAAACTAAAGTCTCAATATCTTTCTTGTTTATTGATAAAATCCTTTGAAATTTTGAACATAGTCATATATTTGGGATATCTACAGCATGATATATAAGCTGTTATAATGAAAGCATGGGCATGCACGTGTGCTTTGAAGAGCGCGCACGTGCAACACGAGAAATGTCCAATATAATTGATATATAGACGTAACTTTTTCAATTTTTTATGAAATGCTTTGAAACCATAATATAAGGATAAATTTGAAGCATAGACAAGATGACATGGTCAAAATAGCAAGATCTCACGCGCATGCACGTGCGCTTCGCTCTGATTGGCTGGAAACTAAAGTCTCAATATCTTCTTGCTTTTTAACAAAATCCTCTGAAATTTTGAACATAGCCATGCATTAGGATATCCTACAACGTGATATCTAGCAATTGTCTTGAAAACACGTGCATGCACGTGCGCTGCAATCTGATTGGCTTAAACTTTAAATAGCTATAACTCCCTTGATTTTCAACCAAACAGGATGGGATTTTGAACATCGATAGATATAATAGATTTCTACAAGAAGGTATAGTCAATATGCACATTCATACACGTGCGTGTACGTGCGCTGCAATCTGATTGGCTTAAACTTTAAACAGCTATAACTCCCTTGGTTTTCAACCAAACGGGATAGGATTTAGAACATACATTGATGTAATGGACTTCTACAAGAAGGTATGGTCACCATGCTCATGTATGCACCTGCGTGCACGTGAAATGAGTAAAATCAAAAATAAAATTGAATGAGCGTATTTTTTAATACTTTTGGATTAAATATCTTAATATTTTGTATATTACAATATATAGATTGTGTAGACAAGATGATATGGTCATTACGCACATGCATTCACATCTGCACGCGTGCAATGCTAAAATTTGAATGAATTTGGAACACTTCTTTGTAAACGTTAAAGTCTCAAATGCATAGAGTTTATTTTATTAATGGAGCTTACAGGGAATATGGCACCAAAAGGGAGTTGGGGGCGTTTGGGGAACATCTGTAACGGTCCCCGTTACAATTAGCACTAGTTTAGGTTACATTTTTTTTCTAATCCAAGTTAAACTCTAAAGCAAGACCAAAGGGTAAAAAAAATGGTGGTAACCACTAATAAAAAACTATTTAATGTGAAATATGAAAGTCCACGCAAAAAGCATAAAAAATTATGTCCAAATGTTAATCATTTTCAAAAGTAAGTGAGACTCCAAGTTCATAGTTCAAGAAAAGTTCTTTCAAAAAGAATATAAATATTGATTATTAAAGCCCTAAAAAAAATCACAAAAAATCCTATTTCCTTTAATCATGGCAACATTGAGGATTGAGATTAAGCCAACTATAAACAGATCTTTTTTAATCTCATAATTTAGTCTACCTGTGTACCAAGTCTTTTCGAAATCTGACCAAAATGAAAAACTAATTTTGAAAAATGTTTATGCAGCAACAGTCAAACAGATGGACAGAGAATGAAAACCTTACTAATGCATTGAGATCTGCAAGTAGAGGAAAAGAAAGAGGTCAAGGTCATAATACCTGTTCTTTATCTTCAATTCATCTGACAGCAGATTTGTCGCTATCCCTTATTATGGAGCAGGGGTCAAGGTTATAAACATACCTGTTCTTTGTCCTCAATGTATCTGACGGCAATATCATAGCTATCCTTAATGATGGCGCCAACATTGTAGTGACCCCTTCTGTCAAAGTGCTTCTCTTTCTTCTGCAACATTATCGCTATAGCAACCGACACAGCAACCGCAGAGGCCTGGCATCTATAAAGAATTATATCAATCTTTTGTATTCATTGATTTTGTTGATCCTAGCAGAGGTCTGGTATCTTTAAAGATTTCTTATTTATTTTGTTAATCTTGTTATGAGTTTTTATACCCCCCGCTTGAAAAGCAGGAGGGTATATAGTAATTGTTAATTCCGTCCGTCTGTCCGTACATCTGTTACGCTTTAGGGTACCTATCTCTTATCCGCAACTCCTCTTATACCACTGAGTGAAATTTAATGAAACTTTCACAGAATCTTTATTACATATTGCCATTGTGCACCTCCTATTTTACTTTTTGATCTGACACATATTTTGTGTTTCCCGGCCATGGCAAATCATTGACTTTGTCATCAGTTATAACCATATGGGAGGTGGGGGGTATCATTTAGTGAGCTCATTGCTCACAGTACCTCTAGTTTTTAAATATTCATCAGTTGAGCTTAGTATATATGAACATTGAATATTCATGCAAATATGTCAAAGTGGAAGTCCCAACCACTACCTTAACATCAGATTCTCAATTCATTCACAGCCTTTTCTAAGGATTGGAACTAGTTGGATGTTTCAGTTTTTTTTATCATTTGTATTTTTTGTATAATTATTGTTTTTATTGATCCCTTTATACTGTGAGCTTTAACTAGCTAATCGACATACTTATACAGCTCTTTAAGAATTAAATGTGCTGTGTGGCAACGCACTTTGAAAAAATTACGCACTTTGAAAAAAAAATTTCAAAGTGCGTTAAAATTGGGACAATATCAACGCACTTTGAAAAATTTTTTCAAAGTGCGTTAAGATTCTACATCAATATAATTTACCATGGAGACACTTAACGCACTTTGAACAAAAAATCATATTTTAGTCATGGAAAGATTTTTTTTGTTATTTTACTTAAACTTATCTTTCAAAAAACTAAGCCTAACTCTAACCTCAAAAATGAATTGATTTACTCCATTGAAAAAAGGAGAAGACGGGTATAAGATCCCAGTCCAAATCTTATCTTTCCAGTACATAGGTGTAGGTAACAAACGGGGGAGGGAGCAATAAACCTATAAAGGGTACGCTGCATTGTCAATGCTTATGTAATGTATATATATCTTTCCAAATTAAGTGGGGGACTTAGACCTGCCCCCCTCCCCTGGCCATTTGCCCAGTCTACATGTCTATGCTTTACTCAAAGCATTCATATAATTAATATGTATTTACCTAACTGTTATGACATTGAAAACTTTCAAAAATAAATGAGTTAATTAAAACAGATGAAAACAAGAAATTTTTAAGTACAGTAAAACGTATGAGAGAGAAAGAATTTTCATAGTTTTGAACAATCAAACTGGTCCCTTTTTATTATGATAAATGCTAAGTTGCTTGAAGCTGTCCTCTGTTAGTGCCCCCTATACACCTTTACATCTACTTATCAAAGACTAGAATTAAAAAAAAGAAGAAACGAATTAATGAACTTAAACAATCGTCAATTTTCCCTTTTATTTTATCAAAACCTTAAATATTTAAAACATCAATATCTCAGGTCCTACTGTGACTTTATCATAAAAAAGTTATCAAACCAGAATCCAGTTTTTATCATACCGATTATTTGAAGGAATATTGATCAATCCTTACAATTTTTTTTCAAAGTGCGTTAATATGGTCCCAAATTTTAACGCACTTTGAAAATTTTTTTTCAAAGTGCGCAATTTTTCAAAGTGCTTTGTAACAGTGCTGTAATAGATTTGAACTCGGTGAAGCATACACTAAGAGAGTGCAACATAACATATTTTGTCCTCTATTTGTTTGTAAAGAAAAATACAACGAAAAGTTGTTTCATTAAAAATGAACCATGATAAAATATACAAGAGAATTGCTATCTTTCTAATTGTAACTAGTATTGGTTATTTATATAATTATATAATCATATTTGTAACTTTGATACCTTGCTTAATATGAAATTTTTAATAAGCATTTTGTGCTAGCAATTCTACAAAACCACTCTGACTTCTACATATTTTTTATATGCAAGCAATTGACCATTTACTCGTAAAGAGTCTTCAGCACTTGTAAGTTGAACACTTCTGCTGTGTTAGGAAACAGTTTAACTGTTGTTTTACATTTCTAAGCACCTGCAACAATTCAGCTTGACCACAAACTAACCTTAGGTCACAGTTAGAGATTCTTATTTCTGACACAAGTAAGCTTAACCTCAAACTGATCTTAGGTCAGTCAGATATAGCTTGACCTCAAACTGACCTTATGCCATAGTCAATTATTCTAAACCCCTGGCACAACTTACATGTAGCTTGACCTCAAACTGACCTTGGGTCATATTGAGTTATTCTAAGCTCTGATAAAACTTCAACTGGTCTTGGATCATAATGAATTTTTCTAAGCTCTTCTACAACATAGCTTGACCTCAAACTGACCTTGGGTCATAGTGACTTATTCTAAACTCTTCTACAACTTACAATGTAGCTTGACCTCAAACTGACCTTGGGTCACAGTGAGTGATTCTAAGCCCCTGGCACAACTCAGCGTGGCCAAAACTGACCTTGGATCAAAGTGAGTGATTCTGGCCACATCTGCTGCATTCCTGGCCACCTGTTCAAGGTCATGAAACATGTGGACCCCCAGGATACTGGTCCTCATCACAGCTCCATTGGGCGCCACCTTACACTGGCTCTCCCTCCATACACTCTCCGCCGCCTACAACAGAAGGATAGACCCTGATAATATCTTTAATCATCATTATAACCATGCTGTCATTATCACGTCCTTAGCATGTGAGTATGTCTTAATCTGACATGTGATCATGTCCTATTTATGTAATCATGATACCATGCTGTCCTTGTTATGTGATCATGTCCCTCTCAAGTGATGTTCCTATCATGTACTCATGTTCCTATCATGTGATCCTATCATGTGATCATGTGGGTGCAATGATACGCCTACCACACAATGATACGTATCACAGTATTCAGTTCACGGTACGATATGTATCACGATACAGACATTTGTCATCATATACTTCAAACTCAAATGTTTTATCAAATGCTCATAACACTAACCCTAGGAAAGTGATTACATCCTTCGACCCGTTAAATATCGGACAGGAAACAAGTTTATTTGCCGCTTCTGCAGTTTCATTGAGCCCATGTTTTGTGCGGAAGCCATTTGAAATTGTAAATGATAAACCAACCAGAAGTCTCTGTTGAGACTGTAGGCTTGTTATTGGTTTGTACTTATATCAAAGGATGAGAAAAAAAGCCAAATACCATCAGACCAAAACTGTAGGATGACTAGCGTTTTTAAGGAATTTCAAAGAAAATTCAATTTTGAGTAACCATGGCAACATTGTTCATCGAAATTAAAATCCAATGCACTATTTTATGTATTTTAGTGTAGTCGACTTGTGTGCAAAGTAATATTGAAATCAAATCAAAACTGTAGAGATCCTTCAAGAAATTTCAAAGAAAATTCTATTTTTTAGTAACCATGGCAACACCGTTCATCAAAATACACAAATGCACTATTTTATGTATCTTAGTGTACTATACTTGTGTGCCAAGTAAATATTGAAATAAAATCAAAACTGTAGGAGGAGGATGAGTTTTAAAGGAATTTCAAAGAAAATTCTATTTTTAGTAACCATGGCAACCCGTTCACCTAAATCAAAAACCAATGCACTTTTTCATGTATCTAGTGTCATCTACTTGTGTGCCAAGTGATATTGAAATCAGACCAAAACTGTAGGAGGAGTAGCGTTTTAAAGGAATTTCAAAGAATAATTTATTTTGAGTAACCATGGCAACACCGTTTACCGAAATCAAAAATCAATGCACTATTTTATGTATCTTTGTGTAGTCTACTTGTGTTCAAAGTAATATTGAAATCAAATCAAAACTGTAGGAGGAGTAGCCTTTTAAAGGAATTTCACAGAAAATTCTATTTTTAGTAACCATGGCAACACCGTTCATCGAAATCAGAAACCGATGCACTTTTTCTAAGGATCTTAGTGTAGTCTACTTGTGTGCCAAGTGATATTGAAATCAGACCGAAATTCAGGAGGAGTAGCGTTTTTAAAGGAATTTCAAAGAAAATTCTATTTTTAGTAACCATGGCAACACCGTTCACCAAAAAAAAAACAATGCACTAATTTATGTATCTTAGTGTAGTCTACTTGTGTGCAAAGTAATATTGAAATCAAATCAAAACTGTAGGAGGAGTAGCGTTTTTAAGGAATTTCAAAGAATAATTTATTTTGAGTAACCATGGCAACACCGTTCACCGAAATCAAAAACCAATGCACTATTTTATGTATCTTTGTGTAGTCTACTTGTGTTCAAAGTAATATTGAAATCAAATCAAAACTGTAGGAGGAGTAGCGTTTTAAAGGAATTTCAAAGAAAATTCTATTTTTAGTTACCATGGCAACACCGTTCACCGAAATCAAAAACCGATGCACAGAATTATGTATCTTAGTGTAGTCTACTTGTTTGCCAAGTGATATTGAAATCAGACCAAAACTGTAGGAGGAGTAGCGTTTTAAAGGAATTTCAAAGAAAATTCTATTTTTAGTAACCATGGCAACACCGTTCACCAAAAAAAAAAACCAATGCACTATTTTATGTATCTTAGTGTAGTCTACTTGTGTGCCAAGTAATATTGAAATCTAATCAAAACTGTAGGAGGAGTAGCGTTTTAAAGGAATTTCAAAGAATATTCTATTTTTAGTAACCATGGCAACACCGTTCATCGAAATAAACAAGAGGCCCAAGGGCCTTGAATCGCTCTTCTGATAAATTGTACAACCTATCACTTGTAATTGAAGCCTCTAACCCTAGGGACACTCCTGAGACCAAAGTTGCACCACCTGACAAAGTTTGATGATTCTTAGCCAAAAACGACTACTTCTTGGTCTACATTTCTTGGAAAACCCCAAATGCATCAACTTACACAGTTTGATTATTCTAAGCCATTAATACCTAAGATACTTAAAAATAGCCATAAAAAGTTGAAAGTAGGTCACTGTAACCTACTTTTTGGTTGACATTCTCCGAAAACCCAAGATGCATCAAATGACAAAGTTTGATGATTCTAAGCCAATAAGTACCAGAGATACTTAAATATAGCCATAAAATGTTGAAAGTAGGTCACCATGACCTACATTTTAGTCTACATTTTTCAAGTCCCAAAGTTGCATCTGCTGACTAAGTTTGATGATTCTAAGCCGATAAATACGTAAGATACTTAAATATAGACATAAAATGTCGAAAGTAGGTCACTGTGACCTAATTTCTGGTCGCCACTCTCTGAAAACCCAAGATGCATCAACTGACAAAGTTTGATGATTCTAAGCCAATAAGTACCGGAGATACTTAAATATAGCCATAAAATGTCAAAAATAGGTCACTGTGACCTAATTTTTCGTCATCACTCTCCGAAAACCCGAAACGCATCAACTTACAAAGTTTGATGATTCTAAGCCAATTTGTAAAGGAAATACTTTAATATAGCCATAAATGTCAAAATTAGGTCACCATGATCTAATTTTTGGTCGTCACTCTCCAAAAACCCAAGATGCATCAACTCACAAAATTTGATGATTCTAAGCCAATAAATACCTAAGATACTTAAATATAGCCATAAAATGTCGAAAGTAGGTCACAGTGACCTACATTTTGGTCAACATTTTTCAGAGTCCCAAGATGCATCTCCTGACCAAGTTTGATGATTGTAGGTCTGAAGGTAATCAAAAAATGGCAATGCCTTTTAAACAATTTGAAAACATATGCCTGCAAAATTCTAAAAGTAGGTCACAGTGACCTACTTTTTATTGAGAATCTGTTTAAGGTCCCAATATGCAGCAACTTACAAGATTTGATGATTCTAACCCTTTCAGTGCCTGAAATAATGAGATTTAATGTTTTAAAAAGGTTAAGTCATAAGTTCAAAAAGTAGGTCACGGTGACCTACTTTTAGGTTGACGTTGTTTAAGGACCCAAGATGCATCAACTGACTAAGTTTCATGATCATAGGCCTAAAAGTGTCCAAAATATGCCTTCAAATCAATTTGAAAACAAATGCCCGCAAAATTTAAAAAGTAGGTCACCGTGATCTACTTCGTAACATGATGTGAAGTCTTAAGATGCATCAACTTACAAGATTTGATGATCCTAGCCCGTATAGTAAGCAAAATATAAACATTTTTATTAATTGTTAATTTAGGTCAACTTCAAAGTGACCTTGAGGCCACGCCCTTTGCCCCAGGGTCATGCCTTGAACAATTTTTAATCTTCAACATATCCTGATCCTTGTATGTAAATTTGGTGAAAATCTGCCTGGCGGTTCTGGAGAAGAAGATTTTTTAGCAACTAGTACTTTTGGTTTTGTTTTCCTGATTATCTCCCCTTGTTTTAGGGTCCCAACCCTTATTTTAGAATAAATGGTAGCCCTTGGGCCAAGGATACCCTTTGGCAAATTTGGTACTGATTGGCCAAGGGGTTTTTGAGCTATGGCCCATATTCTAATAAAGTGCCGCGCCACAGCATGATACGCCCGTCAAAAAATTACAATTTTCTTGAACAGTTTAGGTGAAGAAAATCACATAGAATCTGATTCTAAGATTTTCATTCCTTAAAATATTTATCCATCCCCTGTGATCTAGGCATCAATTCTAATAAATATTACATCACTGATAGATTTCTGTGCTGGTTGTGTTAGACATTGTCAAATGCCCATCATCAAATTAGTCTTAACAACTTAATCTATACCAAATTAATTTTGAAAAAAAAAGGCTTGCCATCAAATGACATATGTTATAAACTGAACAGCAGTTCTTCTGTATAATCCCCAAAGGGCTGCTTAATCACTAATCAGAGCGACTGAGACAGCAAGCCTTCCTACATTGACCTCATTAATTAATCTTTAACTGAATGCTCTGCTACTCATTACTACCAAGAGATGAATGGGTCTGCACTATCTACTATAATTTTATTTCAAAAACATATAAAATACTCTAGATTTTTTTTATTTGGTTGAGATTTAATGTCCGACAGGTTTAAGTATATAAATCATATGGACATGCTGATTCAACCCCACCCCTTTAAATTAGTTTTTAAATTAATAATATTGCATAATATCAGATTAGTTTAATATACAATATCAAATTAGTTTTAATTACTTTTCATCAAATTCATTTCAAAACTTAAGCTAGTCAACAAGAGCTATTTTTAATCAAACAGGCTTACCCGTTTGCCTCTTAAGGGATATAAGATAACACCAATGCTCTGTCAGTTAATTGCTGCACTCAAAACCCATTAATTTCTCTCTAATTTGACATGCAATTTTCTGTTATCAAAATTCTTCTTGACCAGTGCCTGATAATTATACTCATGGGAGACATGGGATTTCTCTAACATACATTATATTTGTTTTAGATTGCTGTCAAGTATATGCTTAAAAAAATAAGTATTTTCTTGATTTAACACTTTTTTTATAAGAACAGTGCAATACTTTTACATTATTTGGGATGTGTAAATGAAGAGTAAAAAAATACATTTTTTAAAAAAAATTCACTTAAATTAAAGGTCACAGTGACCTTGAAATAGGTCGCGACACACCTTCTACCTAAGACGCATAAACTGGCCAAGTTTGATGATTGTAGGTCTTATGGTTTTCTAGTTATGGGCCGGAAAGGATTTTTCCATATTTGGCTCTAACTTCTTAATTAAAGGTCAGAGCGACCTACTTTTTGTGCGCGACACACCTTCTACCCAAGATGCATCAGATGACAAAGTTTGATAATCCTAGGCCTACAGTGCAGGGAAATAATTTTGTTACAGCATCAATGCTGATTTTGGTGCTTCCTATGCTTGCTGATTTTGATGCTTCCTTTGCTTGCTGATTTTGATGCTAGTTATCCTTATCCTGATCCTGGTTTAATCCTTATCCTGATGCTGGTTTGAAACTAGGTCAATGCTAGTAATGCTACCGGAAGTAGGATTATCCTTGCGGAAGTGGATAATTCAAAAACAGCATCGCTATTTTAAGCCATTAAAAATAATTTTTGGGGTAATTTTTATTTGTAATTTGTATTAAATGACTTTCCTTTATCTGTTTTCACTTTGGTCAATGCTACTTCTATCCTTTGCTTGCTGATGCTGATCCAGGTAATGCTGTTTTTTTAAATGCTGATGCTGATGCTAGTTCTATCCTGATCCTACTTATGCTGATCCTGATGCTGGTTTATGTAACAAAATTAGTTCCCTGCACTGTAGTAGTATTAAAGTTATGAGCCGGAAACGAAAAAGCTAACAGACAGACGGACAGACGGACAGACGGACGGACACGAAGCCTATAACATAATACGTCCCGTCTTAAGACGGGCGTATAAAAAGTTAACGCACACCACACGACGCACACCGCACAAATGGCCATAGCATTAGCTCTTTGAGCCTTTGGCTCAGAAGAGCTAAAAACCAATGCAATATTTTATGTATCTTAGTGTAGTCTACTTGTGTGCCAAGTAATATTGAAATCAGACCAAAACTGTAGGAGGAGTAGTAGTGTTTTAAAGGAATTTCAAAGAAAATTCTATTTTTAGTAACCATGGCAACACCGTTCACCGAAATCAAAAACCGATGCACTATTTTATGTATCTTAGTGTAGTCTACTTGTGTGCCAAGTAATATTGAAATCAGACCAAAACTGTAGGAGGAGTAGCGTTTTGAAAAATTGTTTACAGACAGGGGACAGACAGACGGACGGACGGACGACGGACACCTTACTATCGCATAAGCTCTTCTGGTCTCTGACCAGTAGAGCTAAAAAGGATGATCCGGATAATTATTGAACTGAACCGTAATATCAGTTTCTAGTATCGTGAACAGAACTGTTGAAAAAAATGAACAGTGGTATACCATCAAACGGTTTATTGTTGCACTCTTATGATTATGTGACTATCATTTTCTATTTATTATCATGTTCTAATCATGTGATCACATTCTTATCATGTGACCATGTCTTTATCATGATACAATCTTGTCCTAATGCTAATCATGTGACTTTGTTCTGATCATATTATTACTTTCCATTTTGTCCTCATGCTACATGTGATAAGTATATGTTCTAATCATGTGATCATGTTCTAATCATGTGATCAGAAAGGGACTCAAACTAATGAAATCTGTTAAACTCCCACATGTTAGGAAGATGAATTTTTGAAGATTTAATAAACATTTTGTTAGACATGTACATGTATTGCCAATTTAGTCCTATTTGAATTGCAGTTTTGGTAAAGTGATAGCTGAAATAGTTATCTTACAAAGTTTTAGTCTGCTAGATGTCCAGGAGTACAAAAGATTTTTTTTTTGAAATAGCAGTTTTGAAGTACAAGATGAAATATACAAACTGTGTAAGGATCATCACGGTAACTTTTGTGGTGTAGAACACGGTCGGTTGTTTTTCCAATTCCCATTCCAACAAAATCCCCCAACTCAGGAAATCCCTTCTTCATCCAGTCCAGAAATAGGTGGGCAATGTCTTTATGATTCACCTAAACACAAAGTGGTCAAACAAACATGATGTTTTGAACATTACTCCTCAAGATTTAAATATGGTCAAGATAATCAACAGCAATCAAATGCAAAAATTCAATGGAACAATATCTCACACAATTGCCCAAGTGACCTTGACCTATAAAATATGTGACCTTAACTCAAAACCATGATTTCGAGATAATAAACAGCAATCAAAGGCAAAAATTAAATGGAAGAATATAAATTTTGAGCAGAGTATACCTGTACACAAAATTTATTGTTGCAGATTGATTTCAAAATGACTATTTGGGTAATAAAAAAATTAGAAAAAATAATAATTGGTTTAAAACTTATGTCAGTATCTCACATAAATTCCCAAGTGACCTTGACCTGTAAAATATGTGATCTTAACTCAATACCATGATGAGAAAAAAGATAAGATATTTAGAGGTAAAATGTACTAGATGAGTGTCATTTAGATATTAATTTAATATCATGACCTTGGCATAAAAGATAACATGTATCTTTAAGAAAAGAATCTTAAGTGAGTGACAGTTAAATATTAATTTCATTGCATAAAAAACATGCAATTTGGTGAGTTATACTACTAGAATACATCATTTATCGCAGCACAAATGAAAAAGCTTGCTTTCTTCCTATCAATCTGTTTTGAAACTGTTAGCTTTACATACCATTCCATTGTTGTCTGTGAGGGACATCATTATTATAATCATCTGATCGGAGTCATCTGACCAGTCGCCCTCCTTCCAGCGACTCTGATGGGGGTTGTCCACCAGGGACTTGTGTTTATACTCCAAATTGTCCTTCAATTTCCCAAAATACTGAACCAGAACAAAAATATATACCAACAAATATACATGTATTACAGTTCTAGGTCCTTTCAGTTTTTAAAGATTTTAGTGGAATACTATAGAAATACTTTTTTTCTGCGGGATATTACTTAACGCTATGTACGCGGTCACAAATTTGGCAAAATTGGAAATTTGGCCTAGCGTACTTAATATTAATGTAAAGCATATAGTGACAGTTTAAGAAATCCGTGTAATTTTCTACCCGCAGATTAAACAGAAATTGTCATTCGGCAGAATTATGACCTTGCGAAAAAAGTATTTCTACAGTACTGTACTTGATTTTAAAAATTTATCTAATACTGTTTTACATGTAATTTGATTTAAACATGTTTATTTTCAATGCTTTCTATTTCCACTGTGAAAAAATTAAAGTTCTTAGTGCACTGTTTTGTGATGTCAATGAAGAGTAAACCCTAACAAGCATGAATTCAAAATTAAATACTGTTTTTTTGTGAACTTAACATGCATCAGAACTTGACAATAAAGTTTATATTGATATTGAATTTCAATTTATATATAACATTTCAGGCAGTTCTGTTACTAACAAAATGTAGAAGGTCCATCTAGAAATACAAATTGATTTCATGGCTTTCGTTCTTCATAATTACATTCTACTTAAGCTCTTCTACACAGAGTGAAAATAATGTCGACGAAATTTTTACCTCGTGAAACTAAGACCTTGCTTTAGTGTACAACATAATAAAAGGGTTTTTTTTGTAAAGGTTACAACGTAAAAGGCATCCCATCATATAAAACGATCACCGTAATAGCGAGATTTGGGTTCCACTGCACTCATTAACCATGTTTACCATTAGGGGTGGTACTGAAATCAGTCATTTTTGAAAATGATAATTTTCAGTCATTAAATTGATTTTTAATAATGATGGAAATTCATCATTTTTTAGTAAAATGATGAAAAACAGTCATTTCTATTTTGAAATTTATTTTACTAGAAATAGAGTTATCTCTGATATTAAAAATGACTGTTTTTCATCATTTTTTATCAAATTGTTAGGTCTGGGCGCACTTAATTATCTCATTAGTTTTACGGGGCGCACTAAATTATTTTGGTTTCAAATTTGTTGCAAGATGTTTCTCTACACAAGGGTCTATGGCAGGATAGTGTACTATATCTAATTACTGCAGTAAATGGGATGGGAAAATTGACTTGAGAATGGAAATATGATGAAAAGACGTCATATTTACAAAAATCAGAAAATTGTGTACATTATATACTTAGAAGAAATGACCATTATCCATCATTTTCAAAAATGAATGATTTCAGTACCACCCCTGACTGTTTACAGGAATGACAAATACACTTAAAATTTCTAAACTGGAATGTGATCGACATATTTTATATTCTCTGCACTATTATCATGGTTGCATTGCCGCAGTCAGACAATCAGACAGACCTCCAATTTAAAGATTTCCAGTGATGAAAATTGAAAGTTTTAGAAGAATTACCGTGGTAATTATAAATAAAAGAAGAGGACTCATGAAGAGTTGTAAAATAGAAGATTTAATAATGTGCTTGTAAGTTGTTTTCCACAAAAAGACTAAAGGCTTAATAAAATACACAGCCAATTAATGCAATAACTTTTAAAGTTTTCTGTGTTCATGGGCTAAGTGCTTGTGGCCTTCTTATGTAGCCTTTTGCTTGGTCAGGTATTTCATCAGAAACCAAAAGCATACCCCACAAATTGTTCATAAAACATAAAAGATAGGGCCTACTTCTTTTGCCTCTTCTTGGTTAAGAACTCGGTCAGAAGTCCAAGAGCGTCCCCAACACACTGTCCATATAACACAGCTCTGATATGACTTTGTAACTCAGGGCCAAGAATCTGAAATATAATTATATTGTTAGCATATACTGTAGCATCACTCACACATTGTAGACATATTATAAGTAAACATAGCTCTGTAACGGACAGGACCAAGAATCTGTAAATATACATTGACTAAGCATATAGCATCATTCACACAATGTAAACATAAATACAGCTCCGATACGAAACTCAGGGCCAAGTATCTTGTAAATTACATTGTAAAATAATTATTTTATTTTCCTTTTCATCATCATGATCATGTTCATTATTTAGCTGAGATTGTAGTTCTCCAAAAAAAATATTGATAGACCGAGGAAGTGCCACCCATTGAAAAAACTGTATATTTATTGCCACAAAAAAGTGCGCTGGGTTTTAAATAAATTCTTCTAAATTTTTTCTTTTGCAAATAAGGAAAT